ATCTGTGGCCAGTTATGTGCACAGCACACAAGTGTGTACATTCGGGTGTCCTTTAATTCCACTCACAAGCTTCTTGGTTTCCCACATTCTGAATAAAGCAGGCCATGTGGCTTATTACCACCACCAGCTACCCTCTGTGACCAAAGGAGCGTGGACTGTTTCCATCCTCTCTTCTCCTGGCATGTCCTTTATCCTCATGGATTCAAACCTCTTCTCATGGTGGGTGGGGCATAGCTCAGTGGTAGAGTGGTCTCCTGGCATGTGTGAGGACTTGGGTTCAATTCCTCAGAGTACAAAACAATAAAACCCTTAAACAAACAAAAAGCTCTTCTAATTGTAACTCAACTTGCCCATCTTTGTGGTGTCCTCCATGGCCAGTGCATGCTGGACACAGGGAAAGACAGTCCCCCACACGCTCAGATCAACAGAAAACCACAGGGAGCTCTCTGATGCCAGGCAGACTGCAGAACCCTGACACCCCAAACGGAGCAACAGGAAAAGGGCTGCTGAAGCCCCAGGGTGGGGACAAGTTGACCCTTCTGCTCGGCAGGTGCTTGAGAAACACTTGTCAAAATACTCCTCTCACTGGCCGGCTTTCTCATTCACGGCTCCAAAGCGTGGATGATCACCACAGTCTATTGCTTCACGGCTGACTTCCTCCTGATCTCCTTGCAAAACAGCCTCCCTTTCAGCACTTCAGTCTGACTTGTGGTGGCCCCCCGCCGCCCCGCCGTGTCCCCCCCCCCCATAATTTCCTTTCCACACTATTTGAGTGCCTCTCAACAGGGAGGGGGCATGCCAGAACTGCCTGTGAGCTCTACCAGCCTCCAGCTCAGAATCTTCCAAGTAGGTTGGTCGTGACCACTGCATAGGAAAATCACGTGGCGAGCTGTGAAAAGCACCGGTGCCCAGGTCCCCACGCATAGTATACCACTGGAGCTGGGCTGAGCATTTCCCAGAATTTGCTTTTTGGTTCAGGTGGACCCCAGGAGAGGTCTGGGGGAAGTGATGCAGTACCCTTTAAAGATTCTTTTTTTGTTTGTTTGTTTTGTTTTTCGAGACAGGGTTTCTCTGTAGCTTTGAAGCCTGTCCTGGACTAGCTCTGTAGACCAGGCTGGCCTCAAACTCACAGAGACCACCTGCCTCTGCCTCCCGAGTGTGCTGGGATTACAGGTGTGCACCACCAGCGCCCAGCAAGATTCTTTTTTTTTTTTTTTTTGGTTTTTTGAGACAGGGTTTCTCTGTGTAGCTT